ATAATAAATTATCATATCTGTCATACATAATGTATGGTATTAAAAAGTGTTAAAAGTGTGAAATAATTTAAATAAAAATGGAACAAATAATTACACAATTATTTGAATCATAATTTAAGCAGTAAATAAGCTATCCCATCCTCCCATCCTGCAGAATTGTCAGAAACGTTATAACTGTCAGAATGACTGATTTAGGCGCAACTGAAGAGTTGTAAATAAAATAATAATCAAATGTAAAATAATAATAATGTGTTCTGCTGCAAGTTCTCATACTTGATCTCATGTTTTCTCATGGTTTATTGTTGAGCTGTTGAATTGTTCTGTTAAAATAATCAGTTCCAAGCCTTTGACACTTTTTTAGCTTTAAGTGTCCATTCACAGGAGATCTGAAGACATCAGCATAATAAATGAGGAGAAAACAGCAGCTATTGACATGAAATAAAGAGTCTTTTCAGCAGCTCTGTTAATATTGATGAGCCTCAGACGATCAACACTCATTCAACAAGACATTCAGATCATCAGCAGATCATCTCTCTTTATTCTCAGTGTTTGCTGTTAGAAACTGACTATAAGAGTCAGGATATATGATAAAAGTCAATAAGTGTTGGATGGATCTCAAGTGTTGCTGCTGCTGTTTTATTTCTACACTTTTGGCATCTTTGGCAGGTTAAACCTGTTAGTTTGTTAAAATATACTGAAAAAGAGACTGCTAACGTTACATTGAGCCTATAATGAGCAGTGGTGGGAGTAACGCATTACAAAAGTAATAATATTACAGTAGTATATTACTTTTTGCTTTAACGCAGTAATATAATGCATTACTAATAAAATTTGCGTAATATTATTACTCGTTACAATCTCAGTAACGCAAGTTACAACAACCTTTTAACTCAAAATTAAGTGGTGAATTTACAAACACCGCAAAACCACCTATAATAGCTGTCACCACTCAAATGAATGCTCGACTCAGATTAACTGTACAGCATGTGTGTAAGACTCTAATACAATTATAAAATAATAATTTTATCACAAGTACATTTTTCAAATGAGTAAAACTGGCTGCATATATACAGTATTATAGATTACACAACATCATAATGTTATTTTCAAATACATTTTTTTAATTATTATTATTTTAAATTATTGTCCCCGGATTAGTAGGCTACTCTTGTAATAGAGTAGCAGTGGCTGGGACAGATCTTAAGCAATTCCACTTAAAAAGATGCAATACAATCCTGTTTACATGAAATAAACCTGCTCCCGAGCAGGTTTAAGCTAACGGCAACTCCAGGATGAGCTTCAAAGAACCAAATAATCCAAGATAATGCCAAATCGTCAACAATTAGATCCAGCTAACTGAGTTAGCGACGTACGAAGAACGGACCCCAGCACTTTCAGATCTGATGCTGCGTTCTCAACAAAGCCTCATCAAACGTAATTTATTCCAAGCACGCTCTTTTATCTTTTAACGATGCCCCATTCACCAATGAATCTCTCTTTTGAGTCGATTCTGTTCAAGGTCTTGAATAAAGAAGCCTGCAAAACGGTGTGCATTTGTTCACGAATCACTTTGAATGATTTGTTCAGTTCTCTGCACGCACTGAATCGTCTGAAGCGGTTTCTCATTCATACCTGGAAATTTAAGAACAGGGAGAACATAAAGACCTTCAGACAATTGAAGCTAAATCTGCAAATTCTGCTGTTGGCCTGCGCTGAGGATCTTTATCAGCTGAACACCGTGTGTCACCGTCTGTGAACGACTCCACAGGAATACATTTGATTTCATTTAGG